GGGCCAAAATCTAAAATCCAGCCTAAATCGCGGGCCGAATGGTTTACTGAACAGTCATAAACTGTCATTGTGATGGAAACGCAGCGGAGTGCAGTGATGACAGCGCGGTGCGGGCCACATTGCAAGGCCTGGCGGGACGGATTTGGCCCGCGGGCCTTGTAAAATATCAATAAAATATATTTTTTTAAAAATGTTACCCGATGCCGAAACGGGTTTGGCTCAGTGGGTAGAGCAACGGCCTGCGGACTGAAAGGTCCCCGGTTCAATTCCGGACAAGGGCATGTACCTTGGTTGCAGGCACATTCCCGGTGGGGGGTGGTGTGCAGGAGGGAACTGATCGATGTTTCTCTCTCATCGATGCTTCTAGCTCTCTATCCCTCTCTCTTCCTCTCTGTAAAAAGGCAATAAAATGTTTTTAAAAAATAATGGATTAGGTACTAACTTGGAACCTTTACAATGAAAATTCAGTCTTCTGCCGAAACCGGTGTGGCTCAGTGGATAGAGCATCGGTCTGCGGACTGAAGGGTCCCAGGTTTGATTCCGGTCAAGGGCATGTACCTTGGTTGCGGGCACATCCCCAGTGTGGGGTGTGCAATTGGCGGTGTTTCTCTCTCATTGACGTTTCTAGCTCTCTCTCTCCCTTTCTCTCTATAAAAAATCAATAAAATATATATATTTTAAAAAATCCAGTCTTCTAACTTTTGAGGGTGATGTGCTCTTCACTGTAGTATCTGCTGCATGTCAGCCGGCAACGCAGGGCCCTGCCAGCAGGAGGCGAGGGGTCCCACCTGACGCTGCGTGTACCTGGTTCCCGGCCATCCAGAGGTTCCCTGCAGGAGCCGGGAGGGCCCCCAGGCATGGCTTTCCCGCTCCCTGCACAGCGGGGGTCAGCGATGCCGGGTTTCCCTCCCTCTCTGCTGAACCCCTACTTGCCAGGGGGATCATCATGCTCTCAACTGCCCGCAGTTTTCTACCACAGCGTTTTTCAACCGCTGTTCCGTGGCACACTAGTGTGCCGCGAGATGTTGCCTGGTGTGCCGTAGGTGCAGACAAGACAAGAATTTTATAATTTTTCACTATTTTGTTTACTTAATATTTCATAATAAAGTAATTATAAAATACTTTCTTTGTGTTTATTTGATTCCTATTCAAGAGAATTACTTTATATATAGTCAATATAGGCAGAGTTAAATTTTTTAACATTTTCTAATGGTGGTGTGCCTCGTGATTTTTTTCATGAAACAAGTGTGCCTTTGCCCAAAAAAGGTTGAAAAACACTGTTCTACCATAACTGGAGAGATTTCATCTCGTGTAGTGAAGGTTACCCCTCTGTGCTCCCCTATAAACAGTGGCTGGCGGGTGTGCTCAATGGTTAGGGCACCGGCTGTGCTCCAAAAGGTCTTGGGCTCAATTCCTGGTCAAGGGCACTACCTGGGTTGCAGGTTTGATCCCCGGCCCCAGTCAGGGTGTGTGTAGGAGGCAACCAATCGATGTGCATCTCTTATATTAATGTTTCTATCTCTTTCCCCCCCTCCCCACTCTCTCTAAAAATCAATGGGGAAATATCCTCGGGTGAAGGTTGACAAAGAAAAACAAGCACTTCTGTCTATCCACCCAAGCACTGCTACTTAAAGGGAGAAGGCACTCGGGGAGGAAAAAGTCCTTCAGTGAAAGGAAAATCCCTTTGAAGTCTGAATAATGGCTGTAATTGCTGGTTCTCAGAGCACAGCGTCTCATGCTCAGTGCGGAGGGCGGTGCAGACAGGAGGACAAGCAGGAACCAGCAGTCCCCTCCCCAGCCCTGCCTCCCGCCTGCAGTTCCTCTCTCCCGGTAGACTATGGCTGGGCAGTGCACGCCGGCTGGGCAGTGCACGCCGGCTCCTTCTGTCCCGCCCGGCGGCCGCCTGGCTCCCACCCTCCCGCCCGGCTCCACGGAGGTGCCTGAGGCCCCCCTGCACCGCTCACCCTGGGCCCCCTGCTGGAAGCAGGACTTGTAGCCCAGAGGGTGCCCAGCCCTGCCCGCCCCCATGCCCGTCCAGAGCGCAGAGCCATTTCTGAGTTCTGGCTACACTGCCGGCTGGGAAACCGACAGGCAAAGGCGAGAGAAGACACCTGGCAGGACAGAGGGCGTGGTGTTCTCTGAGGTGGGAACCAGAGCCGCTCCCTCCCGGGTGGGAGGCCCAGCCTCCTAGTCTCGGATGCAGGCCAATCAGCACCAGAGAAAAGGACCCCAGCACGCCCAGCAGGTCCTAGAAGCAGCTCTCCCTCTCAGGGCAGGACACGGACAAGTGGACATGTAGGCTGGCCCTGCCGGCATTGGCTCGGGTTGAGCATCGACCTAGGAACCAGGAGGTCAGGGTTCGATTCCCGGTCGGGCCTCAGGCTCCATCCCCAGTGTGGGGCGTGCAGGAGGCAGCCCGTCAGTGATCCCGTCATCATTAATGTCTCCATCTCTCCCTCCTTCTTCCTTCCTCCCTGAAATCACTAAAATTACATTTTTTTAAAAAAGAATATGTAGGCTGAACTGGACACCCGGGATGAAAGTACATCTGCTCAGATAAGTAAAACAAAGGCTTACCACCCGTGACTTTGAAGACCGGATGTGTAAAATCAGAGCCTGAAAGACAAGGATCTCCGCAGAACTTAATTACCGTCATCCAGACCAAACACACAGGCACACCGGGGCCCTGGGGGAGAGCTGTTCTCCGGCCACATCCTAAAGCCACACCAGTAATAATGCTGGACCGGGCACGGCTGACTCACGGCTCAGCTCTCCCTCGGCGTCACAATCACCGCCTCTGCGGGGTTAGCAGCCTGACGGCGCAGGAGGGCTGCTCGGGGACCAGGCACGGTAAGCGCGCTGGGTGCTCGCTCAGACCCCTGCTCCGGGCCCCCTGCCCAGCCTGAGGTGCTGGGTGGGGTCCTGTGTTCTGGGGCGAGCGGTCAGAGCTGCCACCACTGTCACAGGGAAATGTGACAGGCCCAGTGACCGGGGACCGGTTGCCCTGGTAACTCCTTGTCTAAACTGCAAATGAGCCTTCGCCAGTTTGGCCCAGTGGGTAGAGCTGGCCTGCAGACTGAAAAAAATAATAATGATAATCTTAAAAAAGACTAGACGAGACAGAACTTCAAAGCCACGTTTACAAGACTGTTAGTGCCGAAACCGGTTCGGCTCAGTGGATAGAGCGTCAGCCTGCGGACCGAAAGGTCCCTGGTTTGATTCCGGTCAAGGGCATGTACCCTGGTTGCAGGCACATCCCCGGTAGGTGTGCAGGAGGCAGCTGATCGATGTTTCTCTCTCATCGATGTTTCTAGCTCTCTATCCCTCTCTTCCTCTCTGTAAAAAATCAGTAAAATTAAAAAAAAATGTTTAAAAAAAATAACCTCCCACCAATTTAAAAAAAAAAAAAAAAAAAAAAGACTGTTAGTAACGACAGATCCAGAGGAACGAAAATGTACAGAAGGCACGCCTTGGAATTCCTAAAATTGGCCTTTTTTACTCCTGTAAACCAGGTGAATCCAGCCTCCCTCAGGCCCGTTAGTGAGTTTGGTGACAGTGTTTGCATGCTTTGTTTACCATTTTATCTGCAACCCATTTCCGGCTGGTAGCCTGCACTTCCAGGTGAGCTGGAATAAAGGCCCCAACTCTCTCTCTCTCATCTCGATATATCTTTATTGATTCCAGAGAGGAAGGGAGATGGACAGATAGAAACATCAATGAAGAGAGAGAATCATGGATCGGCTGCCTCCTGCAAGCCCTCTACTGGGGATGGAACCCAAAACCCAGGCCTGTGCCCTTGACCAGAATCGAACCCAGGACCCTTCAGTCCACAGGCCGAGCTCTATCCACTGAGCCACACCGGCTAGGGTAGGCCTCGACTCTCTTAAACGAAACGCCTTCCCCAAAAAAGTGCCGCTCACGAGCCGCTCGCCTCCCCCGCGGCCCGGCGGGCGCGGGTTCCACAGGAGAGAAGCGGCTGCAGGTCCTGCAAGCGCGGCGGCCCGGGCCGTGTGCGCAGCGAGAGGAAAAGCCTGAAACCTGCTGCTGGGGGGATGTTTTCCACGGACTTGTTCAGGGAGAGGAATGTGGGAGACACACAGGGATTGGCTGCCTCCTGCACATCCCCCTCCCCGAGGGCCGGGGAGGGACCTTCGATCCACACTCGAACCCAGGACCTTTCACTCCAAGGGCCGGCGCGCTCTCGACTGAGCCACAGGGGCGGGCGCAGCACTGATCACCTCGACGAAGCCGAAAGGCCAGAAACCACCCCCGCGGGGCGCATGGGGGGCTCGCCCGCCACAGGGAAGGGCGCCCCGGGAGTGAGTGCGGCGAGCGCGCGGCTCCCTCGGGCCCAGGGCCCCGGTGCGCCCTGCGCGGCGGGCAGGGAGGCGGGGAGCACGGCGGGTGACGTGGGGCGCGGTCCCCCCTCCGGCCCCACTCACCCGGCCCGGCGCGGCCTCCCCGCACTCGGCGCCGCGCTCCGGGGCGAGCCGCCAGGCGCGGGCCGCGAGCGGAGGGAGCCGGCGCTTCCCGAGGACCCGCCAGGCCGCCATGGGGGCCGCCTACCGGCTCTCGCGGCGGCGCACGGCAGAGTCGCGACAGCGCGCGGGGCTGCTTTACGGCAGGACGCAGGTCACAGGTCGCAGGTCGCAGGTCGCGGGGGGCGGGCCGACCGCGCGCTTTCCCCGCATGGGCCGGGCGGCGGGGGCGGCGGCGGCGCGGCGGCGCGGGGTTCGCGGCGGCGGCTCCCGGGCCGCGGCCTCGCGGGGCGGCGGCGCGCGGCGGCGGGCGGCGGGGGCGGCGCGGGGCCCGGCCGGGCGGCGGAGGCCGTTTTCCCAGGAGCCGCGGCGGTCGGCCCGGGGCGGGGCCGCGGGGCCGGACGCCGGCGGGAGCCGCGGAGTCGCAGGGCGTCGGCGGCGGGGCGCGCGATGGCGCGGGCGGCACAGGTGAGCGCGGCGGGCGGCGCGGGCCTCCTCCTCCGCGGGCCTCCTCCTCCGGCGCCGCCACCGCCGGGCGCGGACCGCGGGCCCTGCTCGGCCCTGGACCCCCGCGGCCGGGCGGGCCGGGCCTCGGAGCAGGGCTCCCAGGACCGGCCGGCCCCCTCCGGCTCCCCCCGGCTCTCCGGCCGCCGGCCCGGCCGAGGCGCCCCCTCCCCCGCGGCCATTGTGAGGTCAGGCCGGCGGGCGCGTCGGGGGCCGGGGCGACGCCCGGAGCGGCCGCTGCGGCCAGTAGCCGCCGCCGCCGCCGCCGCCGCCCCTTCACCGGCCCCCGCTCAGACCTGGCCGGGAGGGGAGCGAGGGATGCCGCGGGGGGCCCAGCGCGGGCGCCGCACCCCGTGAAGGGCTGCCCGGCCGCCTCGCCGCGCACCGTGGGGAGCCAGCCCGCCGAGATGTCCTCCGGGTAACGAGCGGGGCGGGAGGGGGCCGGAGGAGCGAGGCCCCGGGACGGGCTCCTGGCTCGCACCCCCCGGGGATCGGTTTCCGTGGATATTCCATCCTCCGCCGCCGAGCTGCTTCGTAGAGACCCGGGAGCCTGACACATGCCTCCGGCCTCTCCGGGCCGAACGGGAGGCTGGCGAACGGGAGTTCATGGCTGTCACGTCGGGGCACGGCGGGCTGGGGCAGGGGGTGAGCATGATGGGGCCCGGGAGGGCGCCCTTCGCAGGACCCTGTCACGGTCCTTTCCTGTGGAGCCCCGTGCCCTTCAGGGAAGAGGGGGGGACGGGGGGACGGAGGGAACCGGGAAGTGGCACATCTGGGGTGCCTGGTGCCGCCTGGGGTGCTGGTTTCTCTTAGAGGTCGTTTTTCCGGAACTGGGCCTGGACCGCCTCCGGCCTGCTGGTGCTTAGGGAGTCCTGTTGTCCGGAGGCCGGCGGCTGGGGTGCATTCCTGAGAGGGCCCTGCTGGCGCCACCAGCAGCTTCCAGGGTGCGGGCTGGGGAACCTGTGCCTTTTCCCCGCGAGAGTTCAGACAGCTGCTGCCACGCTTACAGGATGTGCCCGGCTCCTCCCCTCTGCCGGACCGGCTCCTCCCCACCGCGGGACCGCCTGCTCCTGGTCTCTGGGTGATGGTGATTTTCAGGAGCCCGAGTTCATTAGTCACTTTTCCCCCTAAGATCAAACATCTTTAAAAGTAAAACTTGACTGATTTTAGGGAGAGAGAAACATTGATTTGTTGTTCCATTTATTTGTGCATTCATTGGTCGATTCTTGCATGTGCCCTGACCAGGACCTCTTGGTTCATAGGTCGCTCAGCCATTGAGCCAGGCGGCAGGGTGACTTCTTTCTTCCTTTCTTTCGTATGTATATTGGTTTCAGAGAGGTCAGGAGACCGGGGAGAGAGAATCATTGATCAGCTGCCTCCTGCACACCCTGCAGTGGGGGACCTGGTTCACAGCTGGACGCTCCCTCACTGAGCCATGCCCGCCCGGGGACTGCTTCTCCGCCGAGCGTGACTGCTGTCTGGGCTGCGGTATTGACAAGCCCTTCCGAACCTCGCTGTCCAGAGCGAGGGTTTTAGAATGAGCTAACTGGTCACCCTCCTGCGGACTCTGCGGGGTACTAAGCTGCCTTCTTGTCCTTTCAGTGCTTGTGAAACTGAGCCCAACCAGAGAATGGATATGGGAAACCAACACCCTAACATCAGCAGGCTGCAGGAGATCCAGAAGGAAGTGAAGAGCATCGAGCCCCAGGTGGTTGGCTTCAGCGGGCTGTCCGGCGACAAGAACTACAAGAAGCTGGAGAGGATGCTGATGAGGCAGCTTTTCGAGATCGACTCCGTGGACACCGAAGGGAAGGGGGACGTCCAGCAAGCGCGGAAGCGGGCAGCCCAGGAGACGGAGCGTCTCCTCAAGGAGCTGGAGCAGAACGCCAACCACCCGCACCGGCTCGAGATCCAGAACATCTTCCAGGAGGCCCAGGCCCTGGTGCGGCAGAAGATCGTGCCCTTCTACAGCGGTGGCAACTGCGTGGAGGAGGAGTTCGAGGAAGGCATTCAGGACATCATCCTGAGGCTGACGCACGTCAAGACGGGCGGGAAGGTGTCCCTGCGGAAAGCCCGCTACCGCACGCTCACCAAGATCTGCGCCGTGCAGGAGATCATCGAGGACTGCGTGAAGCGGCAGCCGTCCCTGCCGCTGTCCGAGGACACGCACCCCTCCGTGGCCAAGATCAACTGCGTGATGTGCGAGGTGAACAAGGCCAGGGGCACGCTGATCGCCCTGCTCATGGACGTGGCCAACAACGAGACGTGCAAGCACCTGTCCTGCGTGCTCTCGGGGATGATCGCGGACCTGGACGCGCTGGACGTGTGCGGGCGGACGGAGATCCGCAACTACCGCCGCGAGGTGGTGGAGGACATCAACAAGCTGCTGAGGTACTTGGATTTGGAAGAGGAAGCAGATTCGACCCACGCGTTCGACCTGGGGCAGAACCAGTCCATCCTGAAGATTGAGAAGGTCCTCAAGCGGATGAGGGAGATTAAGAACGAGCTGCTGCAGGCGCAGAGCCCCCCCGAGCTGTACCTGAGCGCCAAGACCGAGCTGCAGGCCCTGATCGGGCAGCTGGACGAGGTGAGCCCCGAGAGGAACCCCTGCATCCGGGAGGCACGGCGGCGGGCGGTGATCGCCGTGCAGACCCTCGTCACGCACGTCGACCTGAAGGAGGCGCTGCAGAGGAGGGAGTGCTCCGTGCGCGAGGAGCTCCCGTCCCACGGGGCCATCTGGGCCGTGCTGGGCCACCTGTCGGAGATCCTGGGGGAGGTCCTGCTGTTCGACGGGAACCGGACGGACAAGAACTACATGCGGCTGGAGGAGCTGCTCACCAAGCAGCTGCTGGCCCTGGACGCCGTGGACCCGCAGGGCGAGGAGCAGTGCAAGGCGGCCCGGAAGCAGGCCGTGAAGCTGGCGCAGAACATCCTCAGCTTCCTGGACCTGAAGTCGGACGAGTGGGAGTACTGAGGCCGGGCCGCCGCCCCGACGTGTATGTATTTACGGAGAGCTTGCGGCTCGCCGAGCCCAGCTGTGGTTTGTACCTGCATTTTGCAATCTCAGTGTTTATGATTTCAGCAAATTATATTCCCTACCTGCTGCTTTTGATGTCGCAAAACAAATATCATTACAGCTCGCTGACTTTCCCACTGGATCGTGATCTGTATGTCATGGTGTTATTTTCTTAATCAGAAAATGGCATCGGGGCAGCTTCTGTGATTTTTAACTGGGTTGTGCAAAAGCATGAAAACACAAATGTTTCAGAATCCAGGACGGGGCCTGGCCTTGCCCAATACTAGGACAGTTGTGAGAAAGGGCAGACTTTTTAAGTTAGAAGTAAGGTGCAAGCGCAGAAGCAGGGAGTATGTTTTATTCTGCTAAATAAAGCAGGACTTTTCCATTTATCGGCCTGATTGGTCCCGCCCAACTTACCTGGGTGGGTGGTGGTTTTACTGTCTTGGGATGGTCTGTTCTTTCATAAACTTGGTTTGGGAAGCAGGCATTTCCCAGGCTCTCTGCGTTCAGGCCTGCTCACCTGCCTAGTGCTACCGCACGGAGCCCCCCTCGCAGGCTCCTTTCCCTGCCCCTCTAGGGAGTCTGTGTCCTCGTTCAGTTCGGTGCCTCCCGTGGCATGTGTTTCCACGATGTGACATGAAGAGAATCTGTAGTGGAAGTAACGCCCACCCCTCCCATGTCTGTGACATAGGACCTTTGTGTGTGACACAAAATTGTGGACATTGATAGCAAAGAACCCTTTGAGGCTGCGTTGAAAAGGGATAAGACGCCAGCTAATACTTTGAGTGGTTTTGTTTGTAAAGTCTGAACTGACGGTTTTCCTTAGTAATCAGTAAGGAGGGAAACGTTTCCATGGACCTGGAGAGAACGAAAGGGAAACGGACGCCCAGCCTGTGCAGGGGCGTGCCTGGAGACAGTGCCACGACCCGTGTGGACGTGTGTGGACGTGGCGTGCGGTGGGCTGCTCCCGGCACTGGTGCTGCCCCCGGCAGGCCTGCTCACGCGCCCAGTGCTGCCTCACGGGCGGGCGGCACTCGCCAGCTTGCTGAGAAGGTAGCCGTCAGCGGTTCCCGAAGCTCTGACGCGCGGACGGCCGGTTGGTCGGAGTGGGTGACGGACTGCTCCCGTGTCACCTTTCACAGGTGTCTGCAGCGCCTTGAGCTCTAGAAACCCGCAGCCCGGCCACGGGGGTGACTCGGTGTAAACAAACAGCGCAGACGGCAGGTGCAGGAACGCCTGAACGCCGAGGCAGAGCGGGGCCTGCCCAGTAATAAAAGCCTGTGCCAGTTCCTCCTGCAGCGGCCTCCTCGATAGTGGGGTCAGAGGGCAGTGGGGTGCCAGGACAGTGAGCCCTCCCGCCTGCCCCCAGCTCCTGGCGCCTGGGGGCTGTCCCGGTGCAGGTTGTTGGAGCCGTGTTGGCCAGTCCCTGTCGGGTGCTGTTCTGGGGCGTAGTTTCAGGGTGTCCTCCAGCACTGGTGGGAGCACGGGGGGCGGCCTCCCTGACTGCTCCCAACGTCCACAGCAGCAGCTGCGATCTCAGTGTCAGGTCTGGAAGCTCAGGGCACGCTCATGCCCGTTGTTCTTTGCCAGCAGCACTGCCCCCGCTGTGCCCACGCCTCCTGTAGGCGGGGAGCCGGCCCGCAGGCTCCAGGCTGCTCTCTGGCCGGCACTGGGGGTAGCGCACAGGGTCACTGGTCGCGGAAACAGACCACTTGGAGCGCCTGGTGAGGCGTGTGTCCCTGAGTCCCTGCACCTGCTGTTCTGCCCGCACTGAGCCCGCCTCGCTGGCTCCTTTCCCTGCTCCTCTAGGGAGTCTGTGTCCTCGTTCAGTTCCGTGCCTCCCGTAGCATGTGTTTCCATGATGTGACGTGAAGAGAATCTGTAACGGAAGTAAAGCCCACCCCTCCCATGTCTGCTTTGGTCTGCATTAAACGTGTAACCTCTGTTCATGCGAAACCAGCGGGTGTCTGCTTTCCGTGCTGCTCGCCTGCCAGGCCACGGCAGCCTGAGCGGTGGTGGGAATAAAGGAATGACATGTCGGCACGTACAGCTCACCGCCTGTCCTGAGCCCGGTGAGCCGTGGTGGATAGAAGGCGGCAGGTTTGGGAACGGAACCAGTTTTTCTCATTGTTTTCCTTTGCCAATTGCCACCTGGTCCTGAGGGTCTCCGCTGAGCCTGTGCTGTTACCGGAGCAGAGACACTCGGAACCGCAGTCCCTGGAGCCATGCTGGCCACTGACTGCGGCCTGACGTCGGTGTGCTTCCCGGGAGCGGCTCTGCCCTCGCTGTTGGCCGTGCGGCCGTGTCTGAGTGCTCAGGGGTATGCTGAGACACAGAGCAGCAGAACTTCATTATTGATGAATGAAAGGCCTCTCAGCTCATCTGGGCAGTGGAGACGTGTGAGTCTGAGGCGTTAGCTCCTCGTTTCACTGCGTGGCGGGCGGGGCTGCCAGCTCTGGCTGGGGCAGTGGCCTCGGGGTCCCGTCACAGGGAAGGGTGACGTTCCCCTTTAAACAGCCAGGACCAGGAGGCGGGAGGGGCTGCCACAGCTCCCAGGAGCATCTCTGGCCCCGAGTCCGCCCAGGGCTTCCGAGCGCGCCGCCGCCACTGGCCGCCTGCAGCGAGGACCGGCTCCTCGCTCCCTGGGCAGGTGTCTGTCTGTCTGTCTGTCTGTCGAAGCTTGTCCTGTGGCAGCAGTGAAATGTGTCTAGTCCTGGCCTTTCCTGCAGGTCCCCTGGTCTGGCCGCTGCTGTCCTCCAGGGGAGCGGAGAGAAGCGAGGCCGCCTCCCGCCACGCGCATGCGGGCACACGTGTGGGAAGAAGCACGTTGGACAGGTTAGTGTGCCCAGCACGCCTGCTGCCTGAAGGAGCCATCTCGTGAGGGTAAGGGACGCGCGGGCAGGTCAGCACCCTCTGCCCGAGGCCTGGAACTCCGGCTGCAGATGGGCCTCCAGCTCGTCCTCCAGGCGAGAGTGGTCCTGCCCTCAGCATCAGGCCTGCCCGGCTGCCAGGGCCCCGGCTCCTGGGCGGACACACACCAACCGCCTCCCTCGTCTCCTCCCGGTCCTGTGAGTGTGGGGCCATCGGTATAAGAACCTTTCCGCTCTCCAGCCTCTTCCGGTGCCGATCCTCACACCGCCGGGCGCCGGGGTACGGAGGCCGGCACAACCCGGAGCCTGGGGCAGCGAGGCCCCGGCTGCTGGCCTCACGGCTGGACGGCTTAGGCAGGGTGGCTGCGGCCTCGGCTCCAGGCCCACGTGCTTACGTCTCCCGGGAAACCCAGCTTTCACACACACACACACACACACACACACACACCCGGAGGGCAGGGGTCCTGGGACCAGCACGGCTCTTGGGTCGCCCCTGGGCCAGGGCCTGGGGGCGGGTAGGGTGCAGGCTGACCAGCAGCCAGAGTGCAAAGCCCTGAGGTCCCGCAGCCTCTGCTGGGGGCAGGGGGGCGGGTCCAGGGCCCCAGGGGCTATGCTGGGGGGAGCCGCTGGGGAGCAGAATTTCATCCTGGGCCAGAGAGCCAGGTACCGGTGACCCTTTGGGACGGGGCCCTTCCGGAGGAGTGCCCAGCCCACAGTAGTCCCACCAAACCTGGCCCAGCAGCTAGACCTGTGCCCGGCAGCCTGCAGAGGGCACCCAGGGGGTCCCTCCAGTGAGACCCCAAGAGGCTGGTCTGAGCCCCACTGCGTTGGGGAGCCTGCCAGGCCGGGTGAAGAGGGAGGACCTAAACAGACCCGCCCTGCCCGCCCCTCCACAGCCCTGTCTGCGTCCCAGCACCTTGACCTTGAAGTGTCCTGAGCGCCCTGCATCCCTCCACAGCCCCGCCCGCCTGTTGTGTTTCCCTGCGGCCGCCAGGTGGCACCCGAGGCCAAGCTTCACGAAGCCCAGGCCTCCTGGCAGGAGTGGAAGCGGGCGGGGCTGCAGCTGTTGCTCCTGGGCCTGCCCCACCTGTGCTCCTGGGGGACAGGTGGCCGCCCGGGGGGACGGGGGCCGGGCACTCTGGAGCCGAGCGGGGCAGGTGCTGGGCTGTCCCGCCGTGCCCACGCGCCACAGTGTGGGGCCCCAGGGAGCCATGGGGAACTCTGCATCGGACTTGCCCCTCGCAGCCGGGCCGGGCCATGGCCTGATCGCCATCCACAGCCCACGGCACCCCAGGCGTCAGGGCGGCAAGCCAGGGCAGCCGGGCTGTGTCCCCCATTCTCTGCCCCTGGCCCCACTGGGGCCCTGTGATTTGGGGTCCGGGATAGGCGTGATGGGCATGTTAAGTGTCCGGAGGAAGTCACGGACCGGAGAGAAGGAAGACCAGGGCGGTGGGCGGTGGGCGGTGGGCCCGGGGCGGGAAGGGCTGCTGTGGGGTTGGGGAGGGAGCTGGCCTCCCCTGGGGCTCAAGAAGCCCATCAGGCCCTGGCCTTCTGGGCTCAGTTTCCCCCAGGGCCCCCCGCACTGTGGGGACGGCTCCGGGGAGAGCTCGGAGCTGTGAGGCAGGCAATGGAGGCTGGCCCATGCTGCCCAGCAGCCAGGGGTGGGGGCACCCCAGCAGCCTCGCTTGCTCCTGGGGCTGGTGGGGTGGCCAGGGCATGGCGGGTGGGGGCTAAGCTCTGTCCCTAGCAGGGCCAGGAGCAAGGCCGCCCGCCTCCCCACACCGCCGGCCTGCCTGCCCCACTCCTGGCCCCGAGCTCTCCCGCTCCAGCCCCACCTGCCCGAGCTGTGCCCCTGCCGCTGAGCCTCACAGCTTCACACCAGCAGGGGCTGCGGGCCACCTGGGAGCTGGCTGGGTGGCTGCGGGGCCACAGGCAGGCTACAGGGGGACCCGCTCCTGCCGGAGCCCTCAGAGGTCCCCGGGGACGCCTCAGTGCCGACGTCTGCGTTGCTAGGAGCTCAGGGCTCTTCTCAGGGGCCTGGATCCCAGCAGACAACAGAGCTGCTCCCCGGGCTGACGCCATGGAGTCAGCCCTGCAGCAGGCGGGTAGACACAGGGAGGGGGCCCCACCGGCTCTTGGGGACCAGCGCCCGCACAGACCCAGTGGGCTTGGGGGGCCCTGGCTGGCGCTGTGCTGTCACCCAGAGAGGCTGCGGCAGGGGGCAGGAGGCCGGCTGTCACTCTGGGGGGTCACAGTTTCTTCCCCAGGATTCGGCCCCAGCCCCGCCCTCCTGGCCCCTCCCCAGGGCGCCTCCCGGGAACTCCTGGCACACTGCCCGCTGCCCGCCCGCCTGCCCCAAGCCGGGTCCTGGGTCAGCTCCCTCCCTAAGGCCCAGATCCACCGCTGACGTCATTGGGGGCAGGAGCCGGCCCGGCCTCCCAGGCCTCTGCCCCAGAGACTGGGCCACCGTCTGGGAAGTGGCAGTGACGCCGCTTTGTCATGAGGTCGAGAGTCGGATGAGGCACTCACGGAGCCCTGGGGTGCGGCCGCTGAGGGAAGGAGCCAGCAGGCCACACCTCCTCCCAAGGAGCCCCTCACGTCTTCCCTTCAGGCCAGGGTGTCCCCGAAGTCCTAGGCCAGCCGGCCCGCCCCTCCTCAGGCAGCAAGCAGACGCGAGGCAGGGCCCGGCCAAGGCCTCAGAGGCCCAGCTCCATCCAGGCTGCAATCCATCCAGGGCGCCCAGCGGGTCTTGGAGCTGCAGCCCAGCTCTGCACGCAGCTCCCCTCCCCGTTGCCCCCTCCCCCGGGGGTGACCACCAAGTCCTGGCGACTTGCTATGCGGTGGCTCCTGCAGCTTCACCACCCAGCACCTCAAATGGCTGAGCATGTATGCTGTATGTATGCTGTGTGCACACACATGTTCCATGTACATGTGGGTGTGAACACACACAGGTGTGCTGTGTGCATGCATGTGTTTGCAATGGTGTTCATGTGTG